GGTAGGTGTGGGTGCACCGTTCCCCTGTCGTGGGACATTTGGTTGCTGCCAGGATTTCAGTGTTATAAATAGTGCTTCAGTGAACAGTTGTGTGTGTGGAATGTATTCAGTTGCTTCTTGTGAAACCTCAGGCGGGTTCCATCATCCCTGTGTCTCTTTTGCCTTCGTGCTAGATCGGGATAGGGCAGCATCCACCGGAGAGGACAGGTGCGTGGACAAATGAGGTAATATGACAAAGCAAATGCTCAGCGAAGTTTGCCTCCTAACCTCTGTTTGGGTTTGTTGCTTGGGGCTTCCTCTCCAGAGATGAGGTTTCATCATTCACCGCTTCCAGAAGTATGTTAGCAGTTTATAAACTCAAAAGCATTATGTGAAAGAACCAATTTCTCTACACCCTCACTAGCAGTCATCCCAGGGTTTAACTATGTAACTCTCTTCCCTTTAAAATAATAGTGAAAAAAACAGTCTTGATTTTTGAGCAGCTTGTTAGGACAGGACTCACTTGAGCTCACTGCTCTAACCAGTCCCGACCTCATCTCACAAAGGTCGGGTTCCAGAGGCTGTTTGTAACTCTTTTTCCAAAGCTTATAGTCCCCACATGCTTTCTACCAAATTGTAGTGTAAGTTGGTCCTTTGAGGCTTAAAAATCCAGTGTATTTTATTCCTTACTGAAGTACATACTGACTATTGGATATCTTTTTATTTTTCCAAACAGACCAACAGTTTGCTCTAGAAGATCTGCTGTGGCTGGTCATAATTTTGATGATTCCCTTCCCTGCTCCCAAGAAAAGAAATCGGTGAGGGTAACCACATGTCCTGGTTTGCCCAGTTAATACTTGTCCTGCTGACTTTGCATTGCCCACTTCACCCTCAAAAGTGACCTAGTTCGGATGATAAGTTACATTGTCACCCTCCCCCCAGGGGATTCCTCAGCAGCTGAGGTATCTGCCTGCTCTTTCCACCTCACTCCTCCCCCAGACTTCTTTCTATCTGCCCAGCAAAGGCTTCAGCCACATGGCTTTCTCCAAGCTTCCCCAGGGGTTCCTCACGTGTGCCCAGCCTCTTCTGAGTTAACGTTAGCCCAATAGGCGTTCACACAAGTTTTCCCATTTCGTCACTCTTTTGCCCCCATATCTTGCTGATGGTCGCCAGTGGCATGGGCAGGGTAGGGCACTTTAAGTTTGTTTCAAAAGTTGTTCTTTGTCCTTTGGAATTAGTATTTTGCAGCTCAGTTCATACCACAGGCCAATGTAAGATTCCTCATTTCTCACCACTTGCAATTTTTTTTAACTTTAAACTGAGCGTAGTCTTTTTTTTTCTTAAACTAAATTTCATACTTTTTTTCCAGATGCTTTGGCATCATATAGAGGCAGCCTTTTGGTGCTTTTTTTTTTTAATTGAAGTATAATTGACTTACAGTATGATATTAGTTGCAGTGTACAACACAGTGATTTTATATTTTTATACATTACAAAATGATCACCATAATAAGTCTAGCTATCATCTGTCACCATACATAGTTATTACAATGTAACTGACTATATTCCCTATGCTGTATATTACATCCCTGTGACATTTCTTTTATAAATGGAAGTTTATACTTCTTACTCTCTCTCACCTATTTCACTCATCTCTCTCCCCCATCCCCTTTGGCAACCATACGTTTGTTCTCTGTATCTGTGAGTCTGTTTCAGTTTTGTTGTTTGTTTTGTTTTTCAGTTTCCACATATAAGTGAAATCATACAGTATTTGTCTTTCTCTGACTTATTTTGCTTAGCATAATACCCTATAGGTCAATCCATGTTGTCGCAAATGGCAAGATTTTATTCTTTTTTTATGGCTAATATTCCATTGTGTGTGTGTGTGTGTATATATATATATCCCATCTTCTTTATCCATTCACCCATCAGTGGGCACTTAGGTTGCTTCCATATCTTGGCAGTTGTAAATAATTCTGCAGTGAACATAGGAGTGCATATATCTTTTCAAATTAGTGTTTTGTTTTCTTTGGAAAAATACCCAGAAGTGGGATTCCTGGATCATACAGTAGTTCTATTTTTAATTTTTTGAGGAACCTTCATACTGTTTTCTGTAGTGGCTGTACTAATTTACATTCCTGAATGAGGGTTCCCTTTTTTCCACATCCTTGCCAACACTTGTTACTTGTAGTCTTTTCGATGATAGCCATTCTGACAGGTGTAAGATGGTATCTCAGTGTGGCTTTATTTTGCATTTGCCTAATGGTGAGTGATTTGAGCATCTTTTCATGTGTTTATTGGCCATCTTTATAAAACTTCTTTGAAAAAATGTCTATTCAGATCTGCTGCCCATTTTTTAATCAGGTTGTTTGGGTTTTTTGTTGTTGAGTTGTATGAGTTGCATATATCATTTGCAAGTATCTTTTCCCATTAAGTAGACTGCTATTTTGTTGATAGTTTCCTTTGCTGTGCAACAGCTTTTTAGTTTGATGTCGTCCCATTTGTTTATTTTTGCTTTTATGTCCCTTGCCTGAGGAGACAGAGCCCCCCAAAATATTGCTAAGACTGATATTAAAGCTCATATGGACAGAGTTTTATGGTTTCAGGTCTTATTTTTAAGTCTTTAATCCATTTTGAGTTTATTTTTGTATGTGGTGTGAGAAAGAAGTCCAGTTTCATTCTTTTGCATGTAGCTATCCAGTTTTCCAGTACCATTTATTGAAGAGACTGTCTTTTCCCCATGGTATATTCTTGCCTTCTTTGTCATAGATTAATTGAACGTGTAAGTGTGGGCCTATTTCTGCACTCTCTGTTCTGTTCCTTTGATCTATGTGTCTGTTTTTGTGCCAGTGCCATACTGTTTTAATTTCTGTAGCTTTGTAGTGTAATTGGAAATCAGGGCGTGTGATACCTCCAGCTTTGTTCTTCTTTCTCAAGATTGCTTTGGCTTTTTGGGGTCTTTTGTGTTTCCATATAAATTTTAGAATTATTCATTCTAGTTCTGTGAAAAATGCCACTGGTACTTTGATAGGAATTGCACTGAATCTGTAGGTTGCCTTGGGTAGTATGGTCATTTTAACAACATTAACTCTTCCAATCCATGAGCATGGTATATCTTTCCGTTTGTTTGTGTAGTCTTCAGTTTATTTCATCAATGTCTTATAGTTTTCTGAGTACAAGTCCTTTACCTCCTTGGTTAGATTTATTCCTAGGTATTTTATGCTTTTTGATGGAAGTGTAAATGGGATTGTTTTCTTAATCTATCTTTCTGATATTTCATTGTTAGTATATAGAAATGCAACAGATTTCTGTATATTAATTTTGTATCCTTCAACTTAATTCATTTGTTCTAATAGCTTTTTGGTGGCAACTTTAAGATTTTCTATGTGTAGTATCCTGTCATCTGCAAACACTGACAGTTTTCCTTCTTCCTTTCCAATTTGGATTCCCTTTACCTCTTTTTCTTGTCTGATTGCTGTGGCTAGGACTTCCAATGCCAGGTTGAATCAAAGTGGCGACTGTGGGCATCCTTGTCTTATTCCTGATCTTAGAGGAAATGCTTTTAGCTTTTCACCATTGAATATGATGTTGGCTGTATGTTTATCATATATGTCCTTTATTATGTTCATTGTGTTTCCTCTATACCTACTTGGTTGAGAGTTTTGATCATAAATGGATGTTGAATTTTGTCAAAACCTTTTTCTGCATCAGTTGAGATGATCATATGATTTTTATTTTTCAATTTGTTAATCCGGTGTATCACATTGATTAATTTGCAGACATTGAACCATTGTTGCATCCCTAGGATAAATCCCACTTGATCATGATGTGTGATCCTTTTAATACATTGTTAAATTTGATTTGGTGGTATTTTGTTGATGATTTCTACATCTAAGTTTATCATTAATGTTGGCCTGTATTTTTCTTTTCTCTTCTTTTCTCTCTTTTTGTGGCATGTTTGTCTGGTTTTGGTATCAGGGTGATGCTGCCTGCTTGTTTGGTTTGGCATCAGGGTGATGCTGGATGTTTCCCAATCTTGGAGGAGTGGCCTTATGTAGGAGACGTCCTGTGGGTCCCAGCAGCACTCTTCCTTCTGGTCACCAGGACTATATAGGGGTGCCCCCTGTATGGGCCAAATGGGCCCTTCTCTTGTGGTGGGGCTGACTTCTCTGGGCATGCTCATAGGCAGGGCTGGTCCCTGGCCCAGTTAGCTGTCAGGCCCTGCCTGTGTGGTGCCCACTGGCTTGCTGGTGGTTGGGGCTTCTCCAAGGGTGATTGGCTGTAGGGCCTGGGGCTGGTTCTGACCCAGTAATGAGCAGGCCTGGTGCTAATAGGCTAGAGGGAGGACTCCAAGATGGCGCTTGCCAGCACCAGTTTCCTCATGGTAGAATGAGCTCCTCAGAATGGCCACCATCAGCGTCTGTGTCCCCAGGAGTCCCAGTTGCCTCTTGGCTTCTCTAGAAGATCAGCAAGTTCACCACTTGCAATTTTTTAAATTATATCTGCTTTAAAGTTTATCTTAAATGTAAACCTTGCCCTTATCAAATATAATAAGGTTATTTATATTCATAAAGCACCTCAAAAGCCCTCACGCAAACAGCAAGCAGGGCCAAGCTGAGTAAGCAGTACCAAGGACACAGCTATGGTGAGGCACACAACCCCCATCTCTGTGATTGGCCACAGGCAGAGTTTTGTTCACAAGATGAAAGTTTATAAATACAGAAGCTTCTGCATTGGAAAAACAAACACATATTAACCTCTCAATGGTGACTACCTTTTGTACTTAGGTAACTATATTTTAACTGCTAAGGGGCTTTGTGATTTGAGAGGCTCTCTTTCCCCCCGAACATGTGCCTGCATTTCTGGGGTACTGTGTTCCCAGTTTTAAGGTGAAAAAGCAAGTGTTCTGAATGAGAGATCCTGCCAGGTTGAACTAGTGCAGTGTCAGCTGGGGGACTGTAGTTCACAGGTCAGAATGTGAATTCGCAGTGGAAAATTCGTTTTTCTGTTTGTTTTAACCAGGTGACTTTCGGATGGTGGTTGGAGAGGATAAGGCAAAAGTGTTGAATATTGTGAAGCCCAACATAGCCCATTTTCGTGAGCTCTATGGCAGCATTCTACAGGAGAATCCCCAAGTGGTGTATAAAATCCAGCAAGGCAGCCTGGAGGTAAACTATCTGTGGGAAATCCTGTGGACTTATGTTCTTCCGTATATTTGAAATAAGGCTAAAAGGTACACAAATGACTAGTAAGTGACTAGTAATAAGAGGCTGCCTTTGGAGAAGGGGACCAAGGGCTGACATGAGGCGGGGGGAGGTGGGGACTGGTCCTCACTGTGTGTGTCTTTTTTGCCATTTGAAGTTCTTACTATGTATGTTAATTATTAATCAAAAATGAGTGAAAATAAACTCTGAAATTACCTTCTTTCCATCCCCAAGCCCACCTGCCTCCCCAGAGGTAGCCTTATTAACAGTTTGGCATGTTTTCTTCCAGATCTTGTTGCATGTACTTTTGTATGTATTTGTACATATACACATGTATGAAGCAGTTTGGTCTTTTTTGTTTGGCTTTATTTTACATAAATGTATTCATACAGGTTATTCTGAAGCTTGTTTTTTCCCCGCTTGTTATATGTATCATGTCTTGGAACTTTTCTTTGATACATCGAACAAAACTTTCTTTCAAGGCATTCTTCAAAATATTAAATTTTTTGAAAAGAAAAATCAAAGAGCCTTTCCTTTGAGAAAAGTAATTTGCATTTAAGATTTTTTAAACTATAGAATCCATGGTTTTTTATCTTTAAGATAAGGAATACTATTTTACTTTTTTAATGCTCTTCCTCTTCCACATAATAGGGGCAACTAATATTATGTTGAATGACAAGTTAATGGCATTTCTAGAACTGAAAGGAAACTTTAAAAAAGTAGGAATTATTTTAAATGTAATGTTGGAGAATAACATGAATGCCCAGAATACTCACCACTCAGGTTAACAGATTTTGCCATGTTTGCTTTAGATTGAGGTATTTTGTTTTTAATTTTTACTTTTCTCAAAGTAATGCATACATATTGTTTAAAAACCAGGTGGCACCCCAAGGTTTGTAACAAAAAGCAGCAGCTCCCTACTGTACACCTTCCTACTTGTCTGTGCTACTTCCCAGAGCAACTGCTTTCGTCTCCTTCACTGATTCTTCTTACGTTTACCTCCATATTTCTAAGTAATATGGTTTGATTGTTATTCTTGATTTTTTTCAACTTGTACTTTATTTTTGTCATCTTTCTATGGAAAATGAGGATTTTTTACTCTCTTATGCACCGCAGTCAACACACATACATTCTCTCTCTCTCTTTCTCTCTCTCTTCCTCGCCCCATCCCCCACCCCCACTCCTCCACCGCTTATGCTCCATGTATAGTTATTACATAATTTTGGGTTAGGGTAATAGTCGATATTTACTTTATTGTGACACATAACTTTCTTCATTGCTAAGATATACTACTATGAAATTTCCTTTCCTGTACAACTTTGTTTTTCTTGGAGTTAATCACTGTCTCATTTTTTTCACTTGCTTAGTTTCTACGTACCTGTAACTAATTCACCCTCAAATTCTTCTGCAGACCTGTAGAACATCTTCCACTGTAGACAAACACATCACGTGTGTTCTCTGTTTCTTACTTTTCTTGGGGACGTTCTTCCTGGAGCCCTGTGTCCCCTGTTCCTTTCGGGTATGGTTCCATTCTAGGCTTGATGCACAGCTCTTCTCCCAAAACTTTCTTTCATTAGTACCCGAGAATTTCTTCCCCTCTCCTTTGCAAGTTTTTGGTTTACTGGATCTTTTCCTCTTTCACAGTTTACACTTTAATTTTGATGAAGTACACCTTTTAGTACTTCCTAACATAGGTTGTGAAGGACGTAAATTTTTTGAGACCATGTACATCTGAAAATTCTACCCTCACACTGATTGATAGTTTGAGCTAGATATCAAATTCTAGGCTGGAAGTAATTTTCCCTCAGAAGTTTTAAGTCATAGCTTCATTTATTCTAGCTTCTAGAGTTGCATTCAGAAGTCCCACACTAGAGACTGTCATACAGAGTGAAGTAAGTCAGAAAGAGAAAAACAAATATCATATATTAACACATGTAGGTGGAACCTAGAAAAATGGTACAGATGAACCAGTTTGCAGGGCAGAAGTTGAGACACAGATGTAGAGAACAAACGTATGGACACCAAGGGGGGAAAACCGCAGTGGGGTGGGGATGGTGGTGTGCTGAATTGGGCTATTGGGATTGACATGTATACACTGATGTGTATAAAATTGATGACTAATAAGAACCTGCAGTATAAAAAAACAACAAACAAACAACTAATACTAAACTTTCTTTGGGTTATTTGTATGGAAATATGTTAATATAAATGTTTCAGACATGACATGAAATTTCTAAAAATCCTATATGTTCTGGTATAATGTTATAAGTCATAATTCTAGTTATTACTTTAAATGTGTATCTCAGAAATAACTAAATTTCCTTGTCAATTGCATTACTATGAACTTTCATCAAATCTTTAACCGTGGTCATTTTTAAGTCTTTGGTCATTTACAGACAGTTCTGGATGCACTCTGATGCTTTTGCAAAAATGTTCCTATAAAAGGGTTTCACCTTCAAGGAATTCATGGAAAAGACTCTGACAAGTACAGGTTTCTGGTAACTGACTATACTGCTGAACTGAATGAATAAGCATTTTCAGAACTCTAATGGAAAACTGACGAATTCATAAAAGTGCTCACAAAAGATCAAGATGAAAAAAAATTAATTACATGGGACTGAGTGAACTGATGAGGATGATTATAATTTTTGTGACTTTCTGTTTGAATAAAAAAAATAAAATGTCCAACACTATTCAGGTTCCTTATCCTTTGGATGTGACCTTTTTTATCTCTCTGACAGTATTTAGGATCTTTTCCTTTTTTCCAATTTTTTTTTTTTTTTTTTTTTTTTGCGGTATGCGGGCCTCTCACTGCTGCGGCCTCTCCCGTTGCGGAGCACAGGCTCCGGACGCGCAGGCCCAGCGGCCATGGCTCACGGGCCCAGCCGCTCCGCAGCATGTGGGATCCTCCTGGACCGGGGCACGAACCCACGTCCCCTGCATCGGCAGGCGGACTCCCAACCACTGCGCCACCAGGGAAGCCCTCCAATATTCTTAAATTTCATGATGATTTGCCTTTGTCTTTGTGTGTATGTTTTTCATTTATTTTTAAAATTATTATTAGTTTTATGGCTGCACCATGCAGCTTATGGGATCTTAGTTCCCCAACCAGGGATCAAACCCTTGCCCCCTGCAGTGGGAGCGTGGAGTCCTAACTGGTGGAATGCCAGGGAATTCCCATGTTTTTCATTTATTAGTCTGTCATTTCATGAGCCTCTTTTGGAAATTCACGAGCTTCAGTTCTAGGAAATTTTCTTTTATCATTTCTTCATATCCATTTTCTTAGCTTGTTCTTTCTAGAATTCCTGTTAGTTGGTTGTTGGACCTCCTTGTTCGATTGTTTCTTTCCCTCATTCCTGTTTCTTTGGGTTTTTGTTCTGTTTTCCAGAAGAATTGTTTGAATCAATCTTCTAACACTTCTTTTGAATTTTTAATTTCCTCTGAATGTTCTTTTTTATAGCATCCTGTTCTTGTATGAATGCATTATCTTTCCTCATCTCTTTAATGATCTTTATTAAAATTTTTGCAGTTTTTTGTTGCTCTCTATATTGTCTCTGTTTCTCTTAGTTCCTTTTTTTCTATGGATTCACTCTCATCTGTTGTGTTAGAAGCTTTTCTCAAATGTTTGCACATCCTTTGTGGCCTGTATTTTAAAGAGCAAGGCAGTTTAAAAAATGCAGACTGGGAGTTCTTTGTGATGGATAGAGCTTGTCAGCTAGTGAGCTTCACTATAGGATTTGGGACAAGGACCTGGCTGTTTCATTGGAGGACCCCAAGTTTCAGTATTTGTAGAATTTCTCCAAAGAGACATCATCTACTCTCTGGTTAGAGGATAGGGAAAGATAATGTGCCTAGCTGCCAACTTTTAGAAACTGAGCAAGGGAAAACAGCTGGGAATTTCCTTTAACTGTGAAAATAAACTTCCAAATCCCTCAGTTTGGCCTCTGAAAACCTGGATGATCTATGTTCTAACTGGCTTCTTATTGTGGGGAAATGCACAAGAATAAGATGAGTGGGCTGAGCTTCAGTTCCCAGAGATGCATCTAATCTTAAAGCTGCCACTGATACCCATCTTCTCCCGCCTCTGCTGCCCATTCCAAATTCCCCTCACCCTTTCTAGCATTTAGGCTGGTCTAGGTGAGGTGGCCCAGACCCTCATCCCTGAGGAGTCTGAGACTCTGGTCACCATGCCCATCTCGGACTGTAGCTACTACACTTTCCATTTACCATCAAAGTTGGGCAAGAGGTAATAAGAGATGTGTACCAGCAGCCCTACCTCCTGATGGTCAGGTTTAATTATTTCTGCCAGTATGGTGATTCATTTCTTTGTCTTCTGGACTTCTTGTCTGCCTGGGATTCTAAAGTGATTGGACGGCAGTTATAGCTTTAAGTTTGTTTGTTTGTTTTTAATTAGTTATCCATTTTGTACATATTAGTGTATATATGTCAAGCCCAATGTCCCAATTCATCACACCACCACCACCCCCCTGTGACTTTCCCCCCCTTGGTATCCATACTTTTTGTTCTCTACATCTGTGTCTCTATTTCTGCCCTGCAAACTGGTTCATCTGTGCCATTTTTCTAGGTTCCATATATATGCATTAATATACGATATTTCTTTTTCTATTTCTGACTGCCTTCACTCTGTATGACAGTCTCTAGGTCCATCCACGTCTCTACAAATGACCCAATTTCATTCCTTTTTATGGCTGAGTAATATTCCATTGTATATATGTAACACATCTTCTTTATCAGTTCGTCTGTTGATGGGCATTTAGGTTGCTTCCATGACCTGGCTATTGTAAATAGTGTTGTAGTGAACATTGGGGTGCATGTGTCTTTTTGAATTACAGTTTTTTTGGGTATATGCCCAGCAGTGGGATTGCTGGTTCATATGGTAATTCTGTTTTTAGTTTTTTAAGGAACCTCCATACTGTTCTCCATAGTGGCTGTATCAATTGACA